AAAAAAAGAAATACAAAATTTCGGAGCGCCGCTCTGTCCCGCCCCGTCTCCACTATACAAGAGCTAACTCTAGTACTCAGAATAGCTTCTTGGAGAAAAATATAATTATTTAAAGAGGAATTGTTTAAACTATATGTAGTTCCAAAGTCATTAACATAAAATACTCTGATATTTTAACGAAGCTGTCCGATGAAGAAATTTACTTCATTTCTCGTTCGTGAAAGTTTTCAGCATTTAATTACCACTGCTTTATTGAAGCACTGGGTAGAAATTACCTCTGCTTTTAGTGAGACAGTTGTATAAAAATCACCACTGCTTTTGATGAGGCACTTGTGTCAAAATTACCATTGCTTTAAGTGGTGTACTTGGGTAAAAATTACCACTGCTTCAAGTAAGACATTTGTGTAAAAATTACCACTGCCTTTAGTGAGGCATTTGTGAAAAATTACCATTGCTTTAAGTGAGGAATTTGTGTAAAAAGTACCGCTGTTTAAGTGAAGCACATGAAAAACTTAACACTGCTTTAAATGAACTACTCGTGTAAAAATCATCAGCTTTCAGTGAAGCATTGGGTAAAAATGACCATTGTTTTATGTGGAGTACTTGGGTAAAACTTACCGCTGCTTTAAATGAAGCACTTGTATAAAAATCACCACCTTTCAGTGAAGTACTTTTATTAAAATTTTAACTGTTTTAAATGAAGATATTGGAGAATAATTGATCAATACAGTTTAAGATTTTGAGATAATTCATCGACACAAACACCTTAATAATGGCACAGCAATTTCATTGCATTCACTTACATCATAAGTCCTGAACCGAAGTATTCTATTTATAGGAACAATATAGTTTTATTATAATAACAGCTTTAAAAAACTCGAGTTTCATTTGGATAATCAATTCATAAAAGTTAGTTTAAAATAATATGGAATGAAGGCCACAAACAAACACTCTCTGTAAAACAACACTAAAACACTAACTTTTATTTTTACATAGTTTAATCTTGTTGTATTACAAAAAGATCGCAAATATATAATATTCTCTCGGACTAGATAGCTGAAAAGTGAAAACAAGCTATTTATTTGAATTGTAAATAAAATTGGGTCAGTTTCACGCATAGTTCTTATACTTTTTGATATATATATATATATGTGTGTGTGTGTGTGTATGTGTCACTATAAATACATTATAATATCATTTTTATAAATATGAATATATTATAAATATTTTGCATTATAATGACGTAACTAATTCCTATTATAGTAGCTCAAATTATTAATAGATGGTGCTAGGGTAGTTGTCCCTTTCTACCTAGCATGCTTCTTAGTACCTATTATCATATGTTAATTTGTGACTTAACATGTTAATTTAGGTGTAAAACAAACTTACTACAATTTTATATTAAAAATTGATTCGGGTGATACGTCAGTGACCCCTACCCTTTAAAATACAATAGTAATATGAGTTAACCATACTCTCTAAAGTTCAATTTTGTCGTCAGATGACCCAATTCTTTAGAATTTAGTATCATATTTCGTTTCTTTGTTTGTTTTTTAATACAAAATTGCGCCTAGGGCTTATCGCAAGTTTATTTATCTAGTTAAAATGTGGCTAATTTTTTGTCATTGTGTCTTATTCTCAAAAACATCTCATCCTGACGTATTAGTTGCAATTATAAGCTTCATGACGCCATTTTTGGTCTTTCACGTTGTAGGGGTTTATCCTCCTTATTGGTTTTATCTGATTTTACTCGGAGAGTGTACACTTTGTTTTGAAATGAAGCTAGTAAAACATAATTTTGGATTTCACTCTAATAAATTATGATAAAAAAGAACGTATGTCGGAAACCTGATTAATAACATAGCCATTTACAATAAAGCCAAACTTAACTTAATAACGTTGTTTTGGCTTCAGTGCTTCAGCTGAATATTTGCCATTTCAAATTTTTACAAACCAGATTGGAACATGTAACAATGGACAATATTTACCTTATATTTAAACCTACTTAGGCTGTTTTAACTATGACGCTTTGATTATTCTCTTTGATAATATATCAAGTTATAGAAATTATAGTCGACACACCTGCAAACCTCCGAATAACGCTTTGATTAAAGTTGTTGGTCGTTGATTCACAGGTTGTAAATACATTGTGTCAAACGTCTAACAGCGAGAATAAGCAACTTGTACAAGTATATTTGGTTCGTTGTATTTTGAACATGGCCTTGATCTAGTTTAGTCGTTCTAAAAATACAACATTTAGCTTCTCTTGGTTCACAGGGGCGGTCTATAAAAATGCTGCAGAAAGCCAAGGAAAGGAAGAAATCCAGGAGAGCCAGTTCAACTAGGGATCTTTACTGGCAAATATAATAACATTAGAGAGAAAAGATTAAAACTCAGTCATTGGAATATCTAGATAATCAAAGCTATTTTGAAAGTAAATGTGAGTTATAAGTTTATGCAAATTTCTGTTAACATATTTTAAACTAGTCAATAATAGGCACTTACACAGTGGAATTATTAAAAAATATTTCCTTATCCTGAAGCAAGATTATTGACGATTAGCACGTATTTCTTAATTTTTATTTTCTAACAAGTGGATATTTTGTTATTATACTTAATTTAAACATCATTATAAATTATGCTTAATATTTATTGAAACATTTACTATAGTGTAAAGTAATTTTGCTATATATATAAGACACAGTGAACATTAACATGAATTATGTTTAGCGAAAAATGCCATCAGCATGATTTCTAAACAGTTACGAATAAAATGGGCTGATGTTTAAAGTAAAAAAAATGTTTCATCTAATTTACTTGGTGTAGTTAAAATGCTCAAAACTGTAAAAGAAAAAAAGCTTACGGTATTTTATTGGTACCTTAACCAATTTCATCTCAACGCATGAGAAAATTAGTTCGTACATATCGGTAGTGTCAGGTAACACACTTTTATTTTAACCTGTGAAAAAAAATCAGTTTTACTCTTTAATAATAGTAGACAACCCACTTACGTACCGATAGCAGAGAGTCAGCTCACGCTTTAGTAGTAGTAGTAAATAACCCACTTCTATCTCAATCTGGCAATAGGCAATATAAAACCGGTTCTTAGGTTTTAATAGTAGTAGTAAACAACCCAGATCACCTCAACCTGACAGCAGATTATAAGTTCTGAAGTATTAGTCATAGTAAATAACTCACTTTCATGTTAATTAACAGCAGAGAATCAGCTCAACTTTTAGTAATAGTAGATAACTCACTTTCATGTTAATTAACAGCAGAGAATCAGCTCAACTTTTAGTAATAGTAGATAACTCACTTTCATGTTAATTAACAGCAGAGAATCAGCTCAACTTTTAGTAGTAGTAGATACCACACTTTCATCTCAAACTGACGGAAAATCAGTTTTGGCTTCAAAGCCGTTTTTAAAATGTTCTTCATGCCTTTATAGAAAGAAAACATTGAACTGGTTGCTAAGTTTAATGTTTTTTTGTACTACAAGTGGTATTTTTAGAAGAAGTTATAATTCTCACTTTTAGTCAAAGAGTAACATATGCTGCAGTTCTGGCAAGATAAAATTCGCAAAACCAACTTAATAAAAAACACAACATTTTATATACCTCCAATTTGATTCTTTCTCCGGAGTCAAGAAGATAGTGTCCACTGAGTGGCATACACTCCAACACCGTGCACGAGCACTAACAAACATGGAAGACTGTTCTTTAGAGTTATTAACAAAGAGAGATTACGTACTGGAAGAAGAGTCAGGATTGGGGTTTGTTTATGTGATTACAAATACTTCGCACACTGACAGAGCACAGAATATAACGTAACATCAAACGCTATGGTTATGGACGTTGAGTAAATGAAACATGGAACAATATGATAAAAATTATGAATAATTTCAGTATCTATTGAAATACTCGTTACGACTTCAGTTAGGATTGTCTTTAAAAATTTATGCTGATAAACAAACATATTCTCTAACCTAATTATAACCAATTTGTTCTTCAAAACTCATCTCTTAAATAAAGTTCGCAGCGCCCTCAAATTAAATTGTTAATGAAAACTAAAGCTATTATAGGTAAATTATAAAGAATGGTTTATCAAAGAAGTTTTTGAAGAAAGATCTCATCACGCGTGTTGAATATTTTTATAACTAAATCCATTTTTACTAATTTTACTTTTAAGTTTTAGAATTATTGCAATAAAAATAAACCATTTTATACACATAGAAAGTGTAATTTTTTTTTTCACCTGAATGGAAATTAAATGCGACGGTGTCTCTCGGTGGGTTAACGGTAAATTTACGAATTTACAATGCTAATATCCGGGGTTTGACTTCCCGCGGTGAATAGAGCGCAGACAGCCCATTATGTGGCTTTGCGCTAAGGCAACCAAACAAATGTTCGTTATTTTATACATTTGAACAATTTTTTAACAAAATATATTTTTCATGAGTTGTGTGATGTGTATTTAATTTTTTTTCATTACTTTTTTATCAGGTTTTCTTAATTACACAAAATGATAACTTATTTATTACCATTTTAATTATGGAATTAAAAAGTTAATGAATAAGATAATTTTTAATAATTCGTTCAGCAAAATCCTGAAACATATAAGAATAGCGCCTTTGTAAGAAACACTGATATTTTGTTTTGAATTATCGACAACATCACTTTATTTGATGTTACTTATGAGTTTTTACTTTTTTATTAATATTTTCTACGTGGTGGGGATTTCAAAAACAATGAAGACCCATGAAAATAGAGAAAAAGAACGAGGATTTCAACTATAAAAACTGAACGCAAAAACGAAAGGACTTTGATATATATCGACATTCGAACCGTCAGCCTGTAATTAAGAAGATGGCCGGAACAAAGATTTAGTAAAATAATAAGAACTTTCGAAAGACCAATCTTACTATTCGAGCGATTTTCGAACGAGTACATAGATGAATCTTTTAAAGGAATTCACGGACTCTTCAAAAGTAGTTTTCTTCCGCGATTTTCAGCAAACAAAAATAAAAGAATAACCTAGCAATAAATTATCTGTAACATAATATTTAACTTAAAAAACAAAAGCATATTACGCTAATATTCTGTATTCGGGCAGAAATAAATTTTATGATTCTTCATCCTCTGAATACTCGAATTCCACGTGCTGCGTGCCTGGGGGTGCGTGGTAGGTCGGGGGAACGGCTATGCTCGCGTGTTGCGTAACAAGTTCGTCAAAACTACGAAGTTGGCGATTAGGCTTAGTAAAAATGTTATAAGACCGATGTTGCGCTGGCGGAGGCGGCCAAGCGATATGTTTTGCATGGTGTGCTGGGAGAGAGGATTGGGGAGGAAATGGGGAAGGCCCTGAATCCTCCTGGGAACTTGCAGGATTCCAGCAATTTGCAACATTTCCTTGCGGCATCATAGATGTAGATCGCCCACCTTCTCTCGAGTCTCCAGCTTTCGGAGGAGGCCAAGTGAACCTTTTACCTTGCCCTATATAAAAAAAATGAAGGAAGTTGGTGTGTTATAGTGTCGGAATGAATAAAAAATACCTCCTGTTAAACAGAAACGTTTCTTTCTATTTTTAGTTTATATTACATAATCCATCGGATATATCAGATAAACACTACTGTTCCTGTGTACTTTTAATAGAAATACCAGCTCAAACAAATCTCCATGACAATCTCCAGCTGCAGCTTAATATTTTACATCTCGAACTAATGAGATCAAATAGTTAATAGCTACAGTAAATCATCATGAACCGTATCAGCTAGCTACTAGCTATGTTTATTATGATTACAATGTACAAAGTTAGCTACCATATCAAGTTATCCTTTGCCCATAGTTGAGCATAAAAAAGCCAGCAAACAAGATAAATAAATAACTGGGAATTTAAAAACCTGCAAACAGTGATAGTAAAAAAAGTAAAGAAACAAGGCTGGAGATATTGTAGACATTATTTACTCAAACTACAAACCCCTATTTTGACTCCATCAAATGTAATTCTAGGTAACACTATGGAGCGAAAATAGGAATTTGTGGTTTGACTAATTAATGTATACGGTATCTACAGCCTTGTTTCCTTACATTTTGTACGATCCTTATTTGCAGGTTTTTAAAATCCCAATTTTTATATTTATCTTGTATATATATTACAGCTCTGAGTAAACGTTAACACCAAATAGATAAGGAAACATGTATGTTAAGCTTAAAAAGATGTACATCTTTAAGCTCCGGCCTTCGCTGAATTGTTGGTATTAATTCAGGTAAAAAATTATTAGCTGGAAAGGACACCGAATTTTGATATTATTCAGAAACTTATCAAGCTAGCTTGATGTCTAAAACTTTTTTTTTATACTGGTTTCATTATTTACTCTCAGAATGCCAAACCCACATAACAATAAGCTATGAAATATTCGATTGTGAATATTTTATTCCTCACAGGATTAGAATTACATGTTTGTTTTTCATATATTGTATACTTTGGGCTATCTGTGTTTTGTCCACCGCGAATATCGAACTCAATTTTTAGTGTTATAAGCCTGTAAGGATCACAAGTTTAGGAAATCAAATAGAATAAACTTTTAAAAACAAACAACCACATAATTTAGGCGGTTTAACAAAACTAAACATTCACAGAAAAATAATTATACCTGATATACTGTTTAATTCAAAATGATAAAAACCCTATAACCCAAGCGCTTACGAATGGTGGACCTTTCTTCATGGTCAAACTGGGAATGGTGGTGTCCAATCCAATCGTAGTAGGTATTTAGATTTAATAACCCAGAGGTGGTCCGAAATTAAAGTTATTTCTCTTCGCCCCTTTCTTGAGTTGTAGATAATTTTAAAGGCTGTGGTGGTTAACGTTCGGGAATGAGCTATGACTTCTGTGGCATTTGGATTATGCTTTGATGACTTGCCCTGGCCAAGCGAGAGGAAAGGCCGAGAAGAAGACAGGATTGTTTGTTTGTTTTGAATTTCGCGCAAAGCTACTCGAGGGCTATCTGCGCTAGCCGTCCCTAATTTAGCAGTGTAAAACTAGTCATCACCAACCGCCAACTCTTGGGCTACTCTTTTACCAACGAATAGTGGGATTGACCGTCACATTATAACGCCCCCACGGCTGAAAGGACGAGCATGTTTGATGGGACGGGGATTCGAACCCGCGACCCTCAGACAGGAAGTGCGTTTGTTTTCTTGTTGTTGTAGTGAGATGGAAGTGAAGCTTCTAGTCTGACATACCAGGTCAACGGGTCACGAGCAGAGACACCAGACAGCCAAAGCCCGCCCCAGAGGGCCGACGCATCGTCCCAGAAACGACGCAAGACCAGAACCATAGTTTATTGCTTGTTAGTGACAGTTACACAGAACAGATAACATTCTATAATTACACTTTACAATTTCAAAACAGGCAACAATAGACGTTATTCAATAAAGGACATAAGGGTGACAAACTGTAACAATTTAAACATGTTATGTATAACAATTCCATATTTTTTATGTAATACATATACAAATACTCTTGTAGTCCATTGCTCGTTCCGGAAGGTGGAGAAGGACAAGGCAAAAACCCTAAGGCGGTTGTTGAAGTGAGTGTTGTTTGTTTTGTGAAGTGATATAGTTGAAAGGAGAAATAACTTTTTTCCATGAGTCTGGTGTTTCTGCGATTTTGGTGAGTTTCGTATGGAGGTTATTCCTGTTTTTGGACTTGTCGTAGTACTTATAAGAGAGAGTTGTAAAGCGAGTTTGGTTTGTCGTTGAATTATTTATTTTATAAAGGTATGTGCCAGGGGTGTAAACGGGAAGACGATAGGTTTAGCGTATTGCTTTTAATTGGCCCGATTCTAATTTTTTATATAAATCTACCGGCATGTTACACGTGACAGGGTATCGGTATTCGAGAATTGGTCTTATGTAAACGTTATATAGTGTCATTATAGTGCTGGCGTTGCAGCCTTTGGCATAGCAGCTGATCTTTTTGAGATAATTGATCTGCTTTGATTATGATTTCTGCGAAATGTGTGTCTCAGGATAGCTTTTTGTTAAAGGATAATCCAAGAAATTTGATTTTGTTCGCGAATTTGATTTGTGTGTCATAAAGCTTAAGCTTAACTGTTCTAACTTTTTTTTATTTTGTTTTAATCTGCGATATAAGATAATGGATGGTGTTTTAAGCGGGTTTAACAGAACGCGCCAGTTGTTGCACCATGTGACTATGTGGTCGAGAGTATCTTGTATTATGTTTGCTGCCAGTATTGAGAGGCTTGCCTTTCCGGAAGTGTTGGGAAGTTTATGCCATTGACAACTAATGTGTACAGTAAATGGCTTAAAACTGAGCCTTGGGGGACGCCGGCTTGTAGTGGGAATGAGAGTGAAATGTTATTATTTATTTTTACTTTCACGGTTCTCTAGGGTAGGAAGCTTGAAATCCATTTAATAAGTGGAGGAGGTATATTGTAATTACATAATGTGTATCTGAAGCTGTTATGCCAGACAGCATCGAAAGTTTTTTTTTTTTGACATCTAAAAGTACACCGATTGTTGCTTGGTTACGGTTAAAACTTTTGTGAATGGACTGTATTAATCTTACTAAATGATCTATTGTTTGACATTGTTTACATGACACGTTTTGTATGTCAGAAAGGAGCTTGTTGGATTCGAGATGGAAAAGCAGTCTTGTGGTTGTTATTTTTCCCTTAGTTTGCCTATGCAGTTTACCAAGCTAATTATTCTATAGTTACCTGGGTCAGTTGGATCGTTACTTTTCTTATGGATGATGTTTATGATAGCCGATTTCCATGCTTTTGGGATATTTTAATGGTTGTGGGATGTGTAATGAATGTTTATTATGCCGTCCTCATTCGGGACGGAGTTTTTTAATTTCTTAATATGAATTCTGATTTCAGTTTTAGTAAAAGGTCTTGAGATGCTTATATCAGTGAGTGGGTTTACTGGGTTGAGTTGAACAGGGAATATGGGAGTGAACATGTCGCTTTTTTCCTGCACATAATTATTTACTTTGATGTAGTGATCTTGACTGAAAGTGTTGATATTAGATGTTGTGAAGATTGTTGTAAAATAATCACTAAATGATTCATCTTTGTCATCGTCTTTTATTGCTGCGGTATTATTATATTTTATGATGTGATTTGTTTGAGCGGATATGTCGTTACAGATAGTTTGGACTTTTTCCAAAAAAAAGAGCCGGATCTTGTTTGTTATCGTCTATTGGTTGACAAAAGTGTTGCCAGTTTTCTTTACGTTGCGTTGTGATTAGTTATCTAATATTGTTGTTTGTGTTATTGATTAAGGATTTAAGGTTTGTGTCCCTTGCTTGTATAATCTCTCTTCTGTTTTTTATGAGGTTATGAACTGCCAACTATTAATATTTCAATTTTTCTGTCAGGTTGGGTCGGTATTTTCTAAAGCTTTTGTAATAGTGTTTAAAATTTCTGTGGCGTAGATATCTATATCTTGACATCTGTTGGCTAAGTTTTTAATATTAGGTAAAAGTGAGTCCGTGATTAGTCTTAAATTGTCCCAGTTTGCTTTAGTGGAGTCATAAACTTTAGGACGTAAAGTTGGGTTTGCATTACGGGGGTTGATGGTTACATTAAATGAAATGGGGTTGTGATCACCATCGATGTGTTTGTTTGTTTGTAATTAAGCACAAAGCTACACAATGGGCTATCTGTGCTCTGCCAAACCACGGGTATCGAAACCCGGTTTCTAGCGTTGTAAGTCCGCAGACATACTGCTGTACCACTGGGGGGGGGGCATCAATGTGTTCTAAAGCCCTAAAATTGTTTCTGAGTTGAGGTCTCCAAGTATAATTGTATGCTTGTTGTGCCTAATTACTGTTTGAAGCAGATTGACGTCTGGTTCTTTGTTAGGTGATATGTATGTAGCAAGTAGTGCGATTGTAGCATGATTGGGAGTGAATGGTGGTGTTATTGAATGAGTGGTATATAAAGGGAGTTGAATGACGTCATGAAGGTTATCTGGTCTTCCTGGAAATGTTTAGTATATTTTTTCCATGTACTACTGTAAGTGTGTTTCATTTCCGGTATAATGTAGCCGGCGACGAGAGCGTTGTGTAAAAAGATGTCAGGTAGATTTTGCTTTAGAAATGGTTAAAAATGAAAGAAATAAAACTATACTTAAGTGTTTAAGTAAAATAAAGGTGGCACCTGGAGACTGATTGAAAAAGAGATATTAAGCTAATTAATCAATACAAACAGGTATGGAAAAATTATCTTGAATAAATAGTAGGTTTTAGAAAAATTAGGGTTCACACTACATGAAAGAAATAAGCAAAGAATAAAAATTATTTTTCTGACAGAGATGAGACCAATGATCAAAGATCACTGATCCCAGGATCTAGATTGATTCCAAAAGGTCGAATAGTGTTTAGATTAGCGATCCAATAAGCTTCTTTTATCGCTCTATCAACTTTAATTTTTAATCATGTTTCAATGCCGATGAGAGTAATATCGTTAATGGAATGACCGGGTTGGTTAAAGTGTTGAGCAACAGGGGGATATTTTACGGTGTTAATAGAAGATTTATGGTTGTTGAAAAGGTCGCTAAGAGAACGTTTCAACAACCATAAATTTTCTATTTTACTTAAACACTTAAGTATAGTTTTATAGTATGAGAGACACCATGGTCTTTATAGTGCAAAACTATAGTTCACAGTTTTTATACCTGTATGAGAGACACCATGGTTTTATAGTG